TTGGTGTACGCCTGGGGCAGAGCAGTTGGGGTGCTGCTGGCCCGGCTGCCCGAGCCCCTCAGCGTCTTTGCTCCACGTCTTCCTGGTCTGCAGACCAGGGAGACGCGGAGCAGCTTTTCTCGCCCGGAGTACACGGGCGGTGGGACCGCGAGGTCCCGCAGTCCGTGTACTCCTGGGCAGCCCCGTTCGTAACTGCGGATCCGACATAAGTTGGATCCGCGTAAGTCGGGGACTGCCTGTAGTAGAATTTATACAGGATTGATCTCTGATACCAAGAATTGAGTACATTAACTTTGAATGGTGAGCTCGGAAAAGAGACTACTTAGGGAAGATATAATTAGGGATGTTAAAAAGCATTTAATTAAGTAAACGTGTAACTGCTGAAAATTGCAATGGTTACATGTTTAAATGCAGGGGAGGGCAGGCAGGAGCTGGTGTTTGCGATGAGCTAGTTTTTAAGCAGGCTTCCTGTGTGCACCAGCTCCCGCTTGCATCTCCCCAACCCCCATGCTGCTACTTCTGTATCCGAGGCAGTAGCAGGGAGGTGGAGGGGAGCTGTGTGTAATCATGAAGATTAACTGATGAGCCCAGGCAGCAGGTTTCAGCCAGGCACAAGAAAGTATTTTTCACTCTTCTTTTGCGGAAGAATTCTTGTGCAAAAACTCTTCCAGAAGAGCGCGTCTACACTGGCATGTGCCTTTGCGCAAGAGATGTGCTTTTGAGAGCATCTATGCCAGTGTAGACGCTCTCTTGCGCAAGAAAGCTCTAATGGCCATTTTAACCATAGGGCTTTCTGGCGCAAGAAATTCATGTTGCCTGTCTACAATGGCCTCTTGCGCAAGAACAGTTGCACAAGAGGGCTTATTCCTGAGCGGTAGCATCATAGTTCTTGCACAAGAAGCCCTGATTTTATACAGTAGAACGTCAGTGTTCTTGCGCAAGAACTCGCGGCTAGTTTAGACAGGCAAGATCGCACCAATGTAGACACAGCCAGCCTGTGGAACTCCTTGCCAGAGGATGTTGTCTCCGCCAAGACTATAATATATTTTTTAAAAGAGTTAGATATATTCATGGAAAATAGGTCTATCAGTGGCTGTTAGCCAGGATGAGCAGTGTCCCTAGTCTCTGTTTGCAGAAGCTAGACCTGGTTTAAGCAGTTAACCAATTAAACATAATGTTTAACTGGTTAACTGATTAAATTGGATTTTACATCCCTAGTAGGAGGGCAGGATACTGGGCTAGATGGATATTTGGTGTGACCTAGTGTTATCATGGGCTCTTTCAGCACAGATTGTAGCCACTAAATGATATATTGGAGATAATGCAGCACAATTAACACCTGCTGAGTTTTCACATGATTTCATTTCTTTTCAGAAGCTGTATCAAAGCCTGAACATATTGGCATGATCAACCTTTTGAAAAATTGCTGCTGGCTTT